CACTAAAAGAAAAGTTTATTTTTAGTTTTATTCTAAAACAATAAGAAATAGACCTGTCAAACCCTATATTTTTGTAATCAGAAAAAAATAACGAATTTATTAAGCGAATAATCAGTGGTTGTTTCCATTTAAAAAAACGAAAATTGTGATAATATCTCAAAATCTAAAACCGACAAAATTTGTTTGACTACGTCATGAAATTCTCCGTAAAAAAGTGTCCATATAATGTCTTAGTGATAATACTCCACCTATAATAATAACCAAGATAATTACATTTGCGGGTTTTACGATATTTTCAAGTTTGGCCTCTAGCGGAAAAACAAAAGACGATAGCGCTACGAGGTTTTCGTCATTAGCAGTTTCTCGAAACACGAGATCATGACATGTCAATTGCTTTTCTTCTAACTCTTATAGTTTTCGAGTTAGCCTATTCGGACATCGAATTTGAACCACCCTGTACACTAATTTTTCGTTTATTTGTTTTATTTTGTATGTAAATTTAATTTTTACGGTAATAATTCGAGGGTACTTGACGATCTCGGATATCTAGATTAATGTCATTGCTTAATTTTTATAAATAACAATTCTTAATTATTAAAAAAATTCAAGTGTTATTCGTAACTCATTTGTTTTCTGAATTAAAAACAATTGAATGCAGTCTTATTATGGTAAATAAAATATTAAACAACTTTTGTATAAAATATTCTTTTATAAAGCCAACATTTACCGAGATATGTGCTATATTCTATATATAATGGCCACTCTGTATATCTTGTATTTTAAATCTTAAATAATCTTAAAATCTTTAAATAATTCTCTTGTACTGAGTAATCACACGCGGTAGAACAGCGTTATTCATCTGCAATCAGCACTATGAGCTGCAAAAATAGAAACTGCGAATTATTTTGCATAAGTAGATAAACTACTTAGAGTAAACAAATAGTTCTTCAAGTACTTCTTATGTCAAACAAGTAACCAGTGTCTAGAACATTTTAAGGACTTTTCTAGGTACTAGTATATTTGTGTTGGTATTAGGGCTTTTTCTTCTATGACAGGTTTTAGTCTTTTTAATAGTAATTTTTCAAGTAGTTTTAATAATAAGGGTAATAATGAGGTTGGCCTATATGATGTAACATCTGTGGGGGTTTACCAGATTTTGGTATCATTATTATTTCAGCAACTTTCTACACTCAGATGCAAAAAAAAAACGCAACAAGCTAATATTTGGTAAAGTTTGAAATGTGATAACTTTTTTATTTTTCGTTCAATTTTCATGATTTTTTCAGCAAACTATATATAAAAATATAAATAAAATTCGTTTTCGCACTTTAAATGGATTTTATTTTTATTATTTCTCTACCGGTTTCGCTATTTGTTATAGCATCATCAGGAGAGTACGTCAAAGGTTACAAAAGCATTTTACTAAAGAAGTTACTGGGCATTTCTTTTTGTGTTTACACTTTTAAATTACACTGAGAGTTTTGTAAAGTTATCCTTTGAGAGGATTAAATTTTGTGAAGCGTTGTGGCGTCATGTACCTCGCCGCCAAAGTTGATTTGAGGTTCAACCTCAAATGAAATGCCCAGTAACTTCTTTAGTAAAATGCTTTTGTAACCTTTGACAAAAGTATTCTCCTGATGATGCTATAACAAATAGCAAAACCGGTAGAGAAATAATAAAAATAAAATCATTAAATAGTATATAAAAATGTCTAATTTCATGTTCAATATCCAGCTGGTCATTTAGTAGGTATACAGGGTTAATTGAAACGTCGTTCTAGGATCCTAATTTTAAAACACCCTGTGGAATAATTTGTGTATAAATTATTTCAAAATTATAATTTTTGTTAAGAACCAATCGTTCCGTACATTTTGTTATTTTGGTTCATGTCTCTAAGTGCATTCGTTCATTTTTAAGAGCGAAATGAATTTGTCACTAACAATTTACTTAAGAAACGTTACTTTTTAATAAGGTGGCTTTGCTCATTGTTATTCTAATGACAGTTGGATAGTGATTTTTTTGTACAGAAGATTAGTACCATGGTTTTAAGTGCTGAAAATTGCGCTAAAGCTGTTGCTTTTGTTGAAGATGGGAGGAAATTATGAATATGTTGCAAGAATCCTTCATGTTCATTGCTTCACTATTAAAAGAGTGGTAGATTTACACAAACTCGAAGAAATAAGAGAAGGGCAGGAAGCGGTAGAAAACGAAAAACCACTGCTGTTGATCCTAGAACGACGTTTCAATTAACCCTCTAATATAAACCCTGAATTAGACATTTTTATCAACAGTTTGCTGAAAAAATCATGAAAATTGAACGAAAAATTAAAAAGTTATCACATTTCAAACTTTATTAAAGCTAATAGCTTGCTGCGTTTTTTTTGCACCTAAGTATATACAGGGTGTATCTGAATGACATGCCCAAACTTCAGGGGGTGATTCTTTAGGCAATTTTAAGGGTACTTTGATATATAAACCATGGGCGACTTGGGCTCCCCTAAGGAGCTACACCCCTCCAAAAATGGCGGAAAATTTTGGTTTAATTTTTTTTTCTCAAAAACCATAAACGCTAGGACAACGAAATTTGGGGAATATGTTTAACTGGTAGTAGGGCACGTTTTCACCCTATTTGTACTTTCAACCTATCCTTCTAAACTACTAAACGTAACCACCCCCTTTACATTTTTGCTAAAATTTTTTTATGCAGAGGGTAAATACATTAAAAAAAAATTACATAGGTAGATGAAAGTATCCTAAAACTTTTTTGTCTCTCTAAAATTTTTCCAAAAACGACTAATTTTTGAGAAAAAAAATAATAAAGCAAACACTGCCCGTTCAACAACGGGGTTGTCGATCAAAAGTTGGAATGAATTTTTAATGAAAAAATCTTAGTAGGCTTTGCAATCTTTGTCAGAAATATTTTTGACGTTTAAATGTCAGTGGTTTTCTTACTATTATTATTGTTTTTCAAATTAATTTATGAATAAAGTTCTACCGCATTTACGCTCGTTCACTCGACGTTTCAAAATTTTAAATAAAACAATAATAATAGTAAGAAAACCACTGACATTTAAACGTCAAAAATATTTTTGACAAAGATTGCTAAGCCTGCTAAGATTTTTTCTTTAAAAATTCATTCCAACTTTCGATTAACAACGCTACAGCTTAACAGTTAGTGTTTGCTTAATTAATTTTTTTCTCAGAAACTATTAACTTTTCGAAGAACATCAGAGAGGCAAAAAAGTTTTAGAATATTTTCGTCTATCTAAATAAAATATTTCCAATGTATTTATCATCGTCATAAAAAAGATCTAGACAAAAATAGGCTCGAAACATGCCCTATTATAAGCTAAACATATTTCCCAAATTTCATTTTCTTGGTGTTAATGGTTTTCGGGAAAAATAAAATAAACCAAAATTTTTCGCCATTTTTGAAGGGGCGTAGCTCCGCAGGGGAGTCGAAATCGCTGATAGTTTATATGAGAAAGTACCCTTAAAATTGCTTGAAGAATCACCCCCTGAAGTTTGGGCACGTCATTCAGATACACCCTGTATACTTGGAAAGTATTTCTGTTTAAAAGCTGCATTAATTATGTGTAATAGTTTTGTAATCGCCCGTTTTGGTAGATGTTTCAATGTTTTTCCATTAATTAGGTCATATTCTACTGATTTCTTTATATTTAGTTTTTGTATTTCATAATACAGTTCTTTCCTTCTTACACATGGTATATTACTCTTCTGATCACTTTGAATTTTGCTAGGAACACTATTTAGCATAGTTGTTGGACCGCCTGAAGTTTCTTTCAGATATTTAGCAAACAAATTAACTTTTTCTTGATTGCATTTAGCCCAATTCCATTACTATTTCGAATTGCAGGTGTATGTGTTTTTGGAATTTTAAGCTTTCTTATTGGCTTCCACAGAGAATAATCAGTACTGACATCGTCAGTAAGGCCTTTTAAGTAATTTTGAATATTATTTTGTTTGTGGCTATCTGTTAGTGCTCTTAATTTGGCTGTTATTTTATTAAATTTAGTTTTATCACTAGGAATTCTATTGATTTGCCATTTCTTTCTTACTTTCCGTTTTTCTGCAATTTTGTCTCTAATGAATTTAGGATAAATATTAGATTTAGGCCTAGGCTGCGTTTTGTATGTCTTCTAAGAGCTTTTCTACTTCCTTGTCAATGTTTTTTGTTTGTTTCATAAGTTTTTATAAGAGCATTAAGATGAATTTTATTATCTAATGTTTGTTGAAATAGATTCCAATTAGTGAATTTATTAGTTATTTACAATAATAATTACTGGTGAGTGATATGAGTTCAGCCCTAACTCTTCTTCTATCTTTACGAAGTTAAGCGATATATTTTTCGTAATAAAAAAATCAGCAGATCCGAAATTTTACTTCTACCATTAGCAGTATAATAATTGATGTCACCACAATCTCAATCGTCTTTATTTTTGTAGAAATTATTTTAATAAATGGAAAACCACCAAATGACCAAATTCAAAAACCAACGTTATCAAACGGTACAAGTACAACAAGAACAAGTCCAAATAGAAAAAGAAAGTTACCTAGTTGGCAAAGAGGTTTGCTTACTTCTAGAAAGAAAAAACGACGTGAAAAAAATCCCGAAAACGAAGGAGCGGAGGAAAATGTATAAATCAACTTTTTTTTATAACTATTTTTTAATAAATTTATTTTAGATTGATGATAAATCTTCTGATGAATCAAAAGATAATAACATGGATTCAGAAAACACAAACGGAGCGAGAATTTCTTACTCTGAAGATAGTCATGATATGACTAATTCTTTAACCCCATTAACAGTGGATTGTACCTCGAATATTAAAACTAATAATCCATTACAGTAACAAAACCTAAATCTAACTAAATCTTAAAATATTAATTTAAAACATTTTTAGATCACCAAATGCAAAACGAAGGTTAAGCGATCTTATGAGCCCCTCTGAATTACTACAAGATACTTTAGATTTTGACGATGTTGATCAGGCGTTAAACGAAACTAGCGATGTTCATTCGAAAGAAATTGTTGAAATTTCAGAAAATGAATTAAACAAAATTTTAAATTTTGCTGTTGAAGTTACAACCAACCAATCTCTGCAATCATTATTAGATCTTCATTATCAGTTAAGCCGAATTATTAAGCAATACTCAAAGAATTATAATAGAACGAAATTACCAGACGTAAGCTTTTTAAATTTAATAAACGCATTAAAAGTAATATAAAATTATTATTTTAGGAATTAATGAGTGAATTGAAACGATATCAAGAAGAGACGGAAATCAATACTGCAGATTTAAGTGAAGACCTAAATAATTTAAGAAATATTTGATTCCATAGTACTTTATTAACAAAAATAAAACTTTTTTTCTTAAAGATGAAAGATATGTTCAAAATTGCCGTTCAAGCTGTTAATTTATTATTAATTATTTAAAGTGTTTATTTACGTTTAAAGCTGCAGTGTATATTATGTACTTATTATTTTTAATTCATAGTTTTTAATACAATAGTGAAATAGCCAAAGAAAAAGCGAAAAATGAATCAAACACTGCCAATATATGGAAGGCTGATTTCTTTTTAGATGTATTTTTTTAAAATGCACTTTTTTTATTAGTTTAAGTAGTATTAATGTTTCTTTCCCTGTTTGTGTTCCGTTTTTCTTTACTAGCAACAACTTTTTGGTTTGTTATTTAAAAAAAATTGTTTATATTATTATTTTTGTTCATCAAAATACCACAGTAAGAATAAAATGTGTTAATTTTTATACTTTATGTATTATTTATTATTACTTACATCACATTTACATCCAATTTATAATTTTAACTAAGGTAAAATGTAAAACCAAGGTAATATATTCATGATATGACCTAAGCTAATAGATCATAACCAAAAGCTTAATTATACGTTTACAGCAATCACGTCAAAAAGGCGACATCGCATCTAGAAGTAGCAGAAAGATCAGCAATTAGAATAATATCCAAACTTCGAAACCCCAGAAATCCCCTATTCAACCCCTCTAACAAACACCTTTATGAAAAATTCCAAATTATTCCCATTACTCAACGAATATCTCTCCTCGCACAAAAAGCTTACAAAAATATGTCCACAAACTCTTCTCCTCTTTTTCAATGCTCCAATTTTGACATTATTTACAAGAAAATTAGATTCCTAAAAGATGATTAATCAATGTAACATGGGCAGAAGGACCACAGCCGGTAGCCCGTTCCAGCTTCAAAGTTNTTTTATAACAAAAATTGTTGCAAATTTTATTGTTAACAATATTGCTCTCTTGCACTTTTGCTATTAGATGCGTCAATATTGAGATAGATACGAAAATATGAAAATTGTATGAATTTGTCGCTCTTTCAAGTTATTAAAGGTAACACTTGAGAATCGGAGCTTGCTATAAGAAAACTTTTAGAACAAAAGTTGTAGCAAATTTTATTCTTAACAATGTTGCTCTGTTGCACTTTTGCTATTAGATGCGTCAATATTGAGATAGATACGAAAATATGACAGTTTGATGAACTTGTTGCTCTTTCAAGTTATTAAAGGTAACACTTGAGAATCGGAGCTTGCTATAAGAAAACTTTTAGAATAAAAATTGTTGCAAATATTATTGTTAACAATATTGCTCTCTTGCACTTTTGCTATTAGATGCGTCAATATTGAGATAGATATGAAAATATGAAAATTGTATGAATTTGTCGCTCTTTCAAGTTATTAAAGGTAACACTTGAGAATCGGAGCTTGCTATAAGAAAACTTTTAGAACAA